CTCTCCCTTTCTATTTCTCTCCCATTCTCCAGCATGGCTGTGAAGCAGCTTCAAAGCTTCAATGCCTCCCGCAGCTTCTCTTGGGATCGCATTCTCACTTCATTCTCACTTTATCAGTTAATCTCCTGAGAAACTTCTCTAATGCTAATGTCTCCACTTGCCTTCTCTGTGCCCCCTTGCAGGGCTCACTTCTCCTCCCTCTCTCAGTTTACAATGTTACTCCACAGGCCACTACTCAGTGTTCCCTGGAACTTCTAGTACAGGGGCCCATGCCTGCCCCTCCCCTTTTTCTTAACAAAACAGAGTGTTGGACTCCACAAACCTCTAAATGTCCACACTCATCAAGCTGAAATGTCAGAATTAAGGAAGATACTGCTCTAACCTCGGGACTGCTCTTTCTCTGTTCTTCCAAAATATACTCCTGCATCTCTCCACAGATTGAGGACACCTGTGCTCCAGTCATTCTCATCCCCAAACCAACCCTGTACACACCAGGAGATGTGTATGATGTCTTATCCACAGGGACAGAAGGAACCAGAACAAAGAGGTCAGCCACCTTGGCAGTCCTGGTAGGAGTTAGCCTGGTGGCATCAGTCGGCAGCCACAGGACTCATGGCCGAGGCTTGGGACACACGCTGATCTCAACCCAGCATCTTTCTCAAGAAATGGAGGACCTCAGACAGGAGCTCACTTCAACAGTGGAAACTACAGCCCAGTCAATCCAGTTCCTACAACAACAATTATCCTCCCTAGCTGAAGTTGCACTCCAGAACAGGAGAGCCCTGGATCTATTAACTGCAGAAAAAGGGGGAACCTGTATTTTTCTGGGTGAAGAATGCTGTTATTTTATCAACCAATCCGGTAAGGTCGAACATGATATAGAACAACTCAAACAGGTAGCAAAAAATCTTTCACTTAAAAATTCCCAGTACCAACAGTCATCTCAATGGGACATTTTTACAGGACTAACTCCTTGGCTTCTGCCCTTATTGGGCCCTCTGCTTTCTATCACTTTGGTGTTAACCATTGCTCCTTGCCTTGTCAGATATTTTCAGAACCAGATCCGAAAACTAACGCATACTAATTTTAATCAGTTGTTACTTTCCTTCCCTTCACATGTATACAAACACCTGTCAACCATCGAGGATCCTGTTCAGATGCACAGAGAGAGAAACCCTGCTGTCTAGTGGGCCCCTAATCCAGCCTCCCCCCATGTCGACCTTGTCCAGTAGGAAGTAGCAAGATGACAACAGTCCCTCTGCCGACACCTTTCCCTTCCCGAGGGAAAGGTGCCCCGTGCGAAATAAATCTGTGTCCCACTGAGGATTCCATCTGTGCCTCAGTGCCTTCATCCATCCGCGCCGCTCGCTCCCGCCCATTCTCTACCTATCATTTTTGAAGCAGGGTCTCCCTGTAGCCCCAGCTGTCCTGGAACTCACTATGTAGACCAGGCTGGCCTTGAACTCACAGAGATCCTCCTGCCTCTGCCTCCCAAGTGCTGAGACTACAGGCATGCACCACCATGCCCAGCTACTAATATTCTTTTGCAAAAATAAATGGCTATTCTTGGCCCTTTGCATTTCTTTGTTTTGTTTGTTTTGTTTGGGGTTTTTTTTTGAGACAGGATCTCCCTGTAGCCCCAATGAGCCTGGAACTTGCTATGTAGATGAGGCTGGCCTGGATCTCAAAGAGATTCTCCTGCCTCTGTCTCCCAAGGGCTGGGATTAAAGGTGTGCACCACCGGGCCTGGACCTCTTTGTTTTTAATGGCTGCAAACTATCCCTTCATATGGATATATACAGATTTTATCTAACCAGTATGTTGCCCTTGCAAATAATGGTATGTAGCCTATAAATTAAGTAAACATTTTGTTGGTATGTCTTTGAGACCATGTGGCTAACTGCTCTCTTCCCCTTGACCAACTCTTACTTATTCCTCTAAACCTTACCCCAAAGTCTCTTCTTTTGATAAAGCCTTTGTCTATTCCCTGGGCAGAGCTGGTTACTCCCTGTTTTCATGGTCTGCAATGTTCCCATTAATAATGTGTACTTAAAATATCCTCCTGCGACTTCTTTCCATTCTCCTTTGGTAGACCTTCAGCTTCTAGAATTCAGATGTGTCCCTCTGATCTTTATGCCTGGTGCATTATGGGTGCTCAGCAAATGATGATGACTGGCACAGGAGTATGGGAATAAATGCATTCTACCTAGCAATCAGAAATAATGTCTTTTATGATCTTCTAATTCTGCTAACTGAATTCTTGTGATATTTGTGTTCTCTTTTGTTTTTAGGTCCTAAAGCCTATGAGTTAAATTCCTCTTCAGAACTATGAATTTAATTAGCTATTGCTAGTAATAACTGAGAAAGTAGGAAATGTGAAGAAAAACTAACAAGGCAGAAAAATGGAGACGTCAACAGCAAAAGGAATATGAGTATTAGTTCTTACCTGTTATGGGTTTAGGTGGTTTGATCTTCATTATATAAACTGGTAGACTCAGCTTAATATCACTTCTAAAACAAATGTTCAAATCCTAAAATAAGGAAAAGGTACAGCCAATAAACCAACAAAGGAGATGATATGAAATCATTAAGAAAACATCCATTCTTAAAGATGCCAGGAAAAAAGGGAAAAGAAGAAAAAACAAAATGGGCAAATGGAAAGTAAATTGCAAGATAGTAGCTTTAAACTCAAACATGCCAATAATGAAATCAATTGTATATGGTCTAAATACTACCATGAAAAGGCAGAGGCATCATTTCGGACTGCTAAGTGGAATCCATTCATTCTTACATTCCTGTATTATCACCAATATTTGCTGAGTTAAAGTATCAAAACTGGTATATATTAACTCAAAATAACCAAAAGAAAGTTGGGATGGCTATATTAATATACATTAATATACATTAATATATGACTTAGAAGATTTCAGTCAGAACAAAGGCTACTATCAGGGACCAAAAAGTCTGTTAAGTAATGTTAAGATGCATTACATCTTTCCAAATGCATCTAGTAACAAAGCTTCAAAATACACAAAGCAAAAACCCATAACATAAGAGAACAAATAGCTAAATCTACAGTCTTAAGAGTCTCCACTTCCAAAAGATGATAGGATCAAGTATACAGAAATGGGGGTATATAATACAGAAAAGCAGTAAGGATACAGAAGACTTGAATAAGTTGACCACCAACAGCATTTACAGTCTTTTCAAGTGTTTTTAGCAATGTAAATCATATTTAGGGCATAAAACAAGTCTCAATAAATTTGAAAGGATTCTCATCACATGCAGTATGCTTGTGGAATTAAACTAGGAACCAATAAAGGAAGGATATCTGTAATGTTTCTAATGACCACACACTAAATAACTCATTGGTCAAGGGAAAGAAATGAAGACAAATTAAGAATTATTTAGAATTGAATAAAAATGAAAATATGTCAGTATTTAAAGGAAACACCTGAAGCAGTGTGGTCATCCTCAGTATCCATAGGGGGCTGGTTCTGTGGATACTCAAGTCCTTATATATGGTATATCATTTGTCTTTAACTTAAGCACATCTTCCTGTGTACTTTAAATTATCTCTAGGTTACTTATAAAACCCAAACCAATGTAAGCTCTATGAAAGTAGTTGTTATATTTAGGTCTGTTCTTACTCAATACAAATATATTTTTCCCAGTATTTCTGATGGAAGGTTGGTTAAATAGGCAGTTGTGTGATCTGCATATACAAAGGCCAGCCATACCTAGGTTTACAGTGCTATCAGAAAAGAAGAAATATCTTGAATCAATGGTCTGAGCTTTTAATTTAAGAAATTAAAACACTGGGTGTGGTGGTACACACCTGTAATCCCAGCACTTGGGAGGTAAAGGCAGGAGGGCTAGGAATTCAAGGTCAGTCTTGGCTACATAATGAGCTCCAAACCAGCCTGAGCTACATGGCAAGAAAAAACAAACAAGTGGGGCTGGAGAGATGGCTCAGTGGTTAAGAACACTGGTTGTTCTTGTAGAAGACCGGCGTTTGAATCCCAGCACACATGGCAGCTAATAACTGTCTGTAACTCCAGTTCCAGGGGATCCGACAGCCTCTTCTGACCTCCACAGGCACTGCACAACACAGGTGCACTTACCTACATGCAGGCAATACATGCATACACATAAAATAAAAATAATTTAAATTTTTTTAAAGTTTTTAAAGAATTTAAAAAAAAAGAAAAAACAAACAAGCAAACAGGCATCCCAGACAAACAAACAGAACCCAGATGGAAAAATTGAAGTTAGATTTTTGTTCTTTAAAAAATTTTAAACAAATTTTTCAAAAAATTTTGTTCTTGCCAGGCGTGGTGGCGCACACCTTTAATCCTAGCACTTGGGAGGCAGAGGCAGGCAGATCTTTGTGAGTTCGAGACCAGCGTGGTCTACATAGTGAATTCCAGGGCAGCTGGGCTACAAGGAGACCCTGTCTCAAAAAAAGACAAAAACAAATTGTTCTTTTTGAAGAATAAATAAAATGGGCAAACTCTAGAGGAGTTAAGAAAAAAGAAGGCAAAATCACAAATTACCAGTGTCTAGAATAACAGACATGATATCTGTCCTGGTTTGTTTCTTCATTGCTGTGACAAAATACTCTGACCAATACCAACTTGGGGAGGAAAGGGTTTATTCAGCTTACAACTCCCAGGTCGCAGTTCATCAGGGAACCCAAGGTGGGAACTCAGGGCAGGAACCTGGAAGCAGGAGCTGGAGCACAGGCCATGGAGGAATGCTGCTTACAGGCTTGCTCCCTTGGCCCTTGCTCAGCCTGCTTTCTTATGCAACACAGGCCCACCTGCCCAGGGGTGGCACCACCCACAGTGAGCTGGGCCCTCCCACATCACTCATCAAGAAGATGCCCCTCAGACATGGCCACAGGCCAGTCCAATAGAGGCAATTCTCCGATTGAGCTCCTTCAACCCAGGCATGTCAAGTTGACACTAAAGCTATCCAGCACAATATCACAGTGGATTTCACAGATATTGAGTGGAGAACAAGGGAGTCGTGTAAATACTAGAAGACATTAAACTTTTCAATTTAGATAAGATAGACAAATTTCTTAAGAGATAAAATAGAAAACCTTTCTCAAAAAGAAACAGGTAGGAGTCTAGTACCCATAGCTTTGGCATATAATAAATTTTCTGTATTCTTTATCATGCTAAAAAGAAAAAGATGGCCCTTTATCTAATAAAGAAACAAATTTGTAATTCTACAAAGAAAACTCCACAGCAAAATGATCTTGTTAGTAAATGCTATTTAGCATTTTAGGAAGAATGAGGATAACTCTACACAAATTCTTCCAGGAAATAGAAGAGGCAGACAGCACTCCCCAACTTATTTCATGAGGCTAGAAATTCCTGATAGCCACATCATAGATGTTCCAAGAAAAAAACTATACATAGCTCTCATGAATGCAGATGAAAAAAATTCAAACAAAATATTAGCAAACTGGAATCAGCAAGTAAGATCTGTGAAGAGTTTACTTTAAAGACAGAATGGCACAGAGCTGTGGGTATAGCTCAGTCACAATATATTTACCTGGTATATGGAAGGGCCTGGACTTGATCCCCAAGTCTTTAAAAAAAGGCACAAATAAATAAAAGCATGACAAACAAGAAAAAGAAATGAGACAAATAATGCATTACAAAGGAAACATATTTACATGCATATCCTAATAAATTATAAGATCTAAATAAAATGAATAATCACTGAAATTGGCTCAAAACATTAAAAAATGGACTAATCATCACAGAATTGAAAATACAATAAAAATTTTTGCTGTTAAGACCTCAAGACTTACTCAGATGTAGGAGAGAAAAGATACATAATTTACTTAACAAGTCTAACATATACTGACACTAAAAGGTTGAACAGAAAACCACTCAACAAACCCCCACAAAACTATAAGCCAAACTCATATTTAAACTTGAAATTACCTGTGAACCTAGCATATGTGTAGAATTCAACACTAAAAATAAATGAGACCCTGCTCTTTACCACATGTATGAGCCTAGGGGACAGTATGCCAAATGAAGAAAGTCAGGTACAGAAAGAAAAATGGGTGACATATTAGTCAGATTTTTGTCACTGTAAGGAAATACCTGAGACAAACTACCTATGAAGAAAAGAGGTTTATCTACCTCACAGTTTTGGAGGCCTAAAATTCAAACAGCACAGCATAGGCTCCGTGGCAGGGCTTATCTCTTGGCTACATCACCACCTGGCATGAGCATGTCCAGAAGCAAGGAAGTAATATCTTGCACCAGAGAGTAAAGGAAGGGCCTGGCTTGTTCCCTCTTTTTTGTTGTTTGTTTGTTTTTTGATAAGGTCTCAATGTGTAGTCCTGGAATTCCTTATGTAGCCCAGGGCTGGCCTCAAATTCATAGAGCTCTGCCTGCCTCTGCTGAGTGCTGGGATTAAAGGTGTGTGGCCACCACTTGTGACACAACCTCTTGCTCTTGCTTATGAGGACTCAAGGGACATAGCATAAGAGCTACCTGAACTGGAATGAATAAAGACCTCCCATGAGGCACCCTCTCTTAAAGGTTCCATAGCACTTTCCAATATTGCTAGTCTGGAACCAAACCTCCAGTTACAGAGGACTCCTGGGAGACTTTCAAACTACAACCAAACCATAACAGAATCTCAATTTTTAAAAATTTGTATTTATTATTTTTATTTTTTATGTGTATGAGTGTTATGCCTGCATCTTTAAAAAAGAAAACCAAATATACAGCGATGGAAAACAAAACAGTAGTTACCATGGCACAGGAGTGGGAGGAAAGGGGGAGCTACTGGTCAGAGAATATAAACCAGCCGATGTGCAGGATGACCAGTCTGAACATTAATGCACATGAGGCTACTAGTAATAAAACTCTGCTGCATAAGCAATTCATGATAAATGAAAGTTTAGCTGCTCTTGTCACAAGGCAGCAAGGATGGCTGTGAGATGATGGATATGCTCATTTGCATCACTACAGTAACTGCTTAAAAAAACCACTAAGTATCCACAGCATCATGCTACACCTTAAATATGCACAGAAAAACTTTGATAAAAAGTCAGTATCCATAAGCTAGGCGTGTTGGCACATGCCTTTAGTCCCAGCACTCGGGAGGCAGAGGCAGGCGGATCTCTGTGAGTTCAAGGCCAGCCTGGTCTACATAGTGAGTTCCAGGACAGCTGGGGCTACAGGGAGACCCTATCTCAAAAAGACCAAAAAAAAAAAAAAAGTCAGTATCTATTCTTTTTTTAACTCTGTTTTGGTTTTGTTCTGTTTTTTGAGACAGGATCTCCCTGTAGTCCCAGCTGCCCTGAAACTCGCTATGTAGACCAGGGTAGCTTTGATCTCACAAGAGATCCACCTGCCTCTGCCTCCTGAATTCTGGGATTAAAGGTACACATCACCATGTTGGGCTCAATATTTATTCTTGATTTTTTTTTTTTTTAGGTAGGGTCTCCCTAGTCCTAGCCCACCTGGAACTCAGCATGTAGACCAGGCTGGCCTTAGACCTTCCTGCCCCTGCCTCCTGAGTCAGATAAAAGGTCTGTGCCACTGCTCCCAGTATTCATTCTTGATTTAAATAAAACAAAACTCTTAGCAAACTAAGGCTAAATGGACACATACTATTGGCTATCTACCACTATTCTTCAACATTTTATTAGAGAAATGTAATAAGGCAAGATCAATATATAGGAGGGATAAATACTTGAAAGAGAAAAGGTTGTCAGGATTTATAGTTATGGTTATCTGTCCAGAAAATTCAGAATTACTAATTGGTAAACCATGAGAACAAATAATAGAGTTCAGTAAAGAGGCCAATAGTGCCAGGATGGGGGTGGGTGGGTGGAGAACAAGGTGCTCATGGCACAAAATCTGTGGAGGCACTCATCCAATTTTGCACCTGTGTGACCCTAAGAGGAGCTCTTGTAGATTTTTTTTTTCTTTTTTGGTCTGTTTAAGACAGGATCTCCCTGTAGCCCCAGCTGTCCTGGAACTCACTATGTAGACCAGGCTGGCCTTGAACTCACAGGGATCTGCCTGCCTCTGCTTCCCAAGTGCTGGGATTAAAGGCATGTACCACCACGCCCAGCCCTCTTGTAGATGTTTTAAAATGTGTGTGTGTGTGTGTGTGTGTGTGTGTGTGTGTCTGTGTCTGTGTGGGGTATATACACATGGATGCAGTTTTCTACAGAGGGCAGAAGAAGGCATCAGATCTCCTGGAGCTGAAGTTACAGGCAGTTGTGAGCTGCCATGTGGGTGGGTGCTGGGAAATGAACTTAGGTCTTATGCAAGAGTACCAAGTGCTCTTAACCACTGAGCCATCTCTCTAGCCCTCTTCGCCTGCCCCACAAGAGTTACCTATTTAGATATTGTATCCTCATTCTAATCAACATACAAAAATCAGCAAGTTATATATGAACCAATATGGTGGACATTTGTCATCCTTTTGACTACCCAGCACTAAATACTTCTGTCTTGAGGAGACCCTCCATTGTTTAAGTCTTAAAGAATATATTGTTTGCTGCAGGGACTAGATTCTTCTTCCTGCCTCTTGAGGGTTAGTGTTGGCACATAGTATCTAAGAGATTCAACAAGTTTCATATTCCTGCCCATACTGACACCCAGAAAGAGAAGCCATTCATGGTAGAGTGTCCATATCAAGAGTTTAGTGGCCCCATCAGTATGGGAAGCCCAGCACAGCTAGGGGGGCTCCAACTCATGAGGATGGTAATGCTCAGCAGTGGTAGGAGTAGTGCAGTGTTTTCAGTCTACTGTCCCTTTTCTCTTGTTAATGAAGTTTTCTCTTGTTAATCAAGTTTCAGAAAACTTGATGCCCTTACAATTTCTTTGCTACCACCCTGAACCTGGTGAATACTAATAATACCATGGACTTGCGAATTAGTTAATTTTCTATTACTTTAACAAAATACCTGAGACAATAAACTTACAAAGAGAGATTGTTTATTTTGTCCTATAGCTTTGGAAGCTTGAGTCTGTGACTGATTGGGATTTTGCTTTGGGCCTGTGTTGGCATATCACTGTAAGAGCATGTGACAGAGCAAAGCTGTTCACCTCATGGCCAGGAATGAATGTGGAAGATGAAGGGGCTAGAGTCCCTCAAACGCATGTCCCCAGTAACCAAAGAGCTCCTACTAGGCCCAACCTTTTCACATTTCTACCACTTCCCATTAGTGCCAGGCCTTTAACATGTGGCCTTAGTGGGCATTTAAGATTCAGACTATAACCTGGATATGGTGGCATATGCCTAAATCCAAGTACTTGAGAAGCTGAGTGAGAAAGATAGTGAGGTTGAGGCCAGACCTTGTCTTAAAACAAAACACATGTATCCTTGAGAGACTAAGCTCAGGCATACAAAGAGGAATATACAAAGATTTTAACGATATTGTATAAAAGCCCCAAATTGGGAACAACCTCAATATCATCTATAGACTAGAGCCATATAAACCTCAATGTATCAATAATATGGATTGGAATCTAGCAGGTCAAAAGAACAAGACCAGGGACTGGAGAGATGGCTCAGTGGTTAAGAACACTGGTTGTTCTTGCAGAAGACCCGGGTTCCAATCCCAGCACCCACATGGCAGCTAACAATTGTCCGTAACTCCAGTCCCAGGGGATCTGACAGCCTCTTCTGTCCTCCTCAGGCATTGCATGACATGGGTGCACTTACCTACATGCAGGTAATACACGCATACACATAAAATAATAATAATAAATAAAATTTAAAAAAGAACAAGACCAGTTTATTTAACATTGAAAATCATCTCCTCTTCCTCTCCCTCCCCCTTCCTCCTCCCCTTTCCCCTCCCTCCTGCTCCCCTCCTCCACCTCCTCTTTCTCCTCCTCCTCCCTCTTCTTCTTTGATGAGACACAGTCTCATGTAGCCCAGGCTAGACTTAAACTTATAGCCAAGGATGTTCTTGACTCCTGATCCTCCTACCTCTACTTCTCAAATGCTTTATAGGCATACACCACTATGGTGTTGGGCTGAATTATCTAACTTTTCCAAGAGTGATGCTATCACATGTTATTTGTGCAGCTTGAAAAAAAATGTAACTTAAAAAGGAAAAGGAAGGACTCTAGCAAGAGACTTCCACTTCAGATATCCATGGCTACTCTGCTGAGCTCCCAAGCCCAGGAGAGCTAAACCTCAGGAAAAGGGCATCCTCCATGGCTCCAAAAGACAGGAAGTCTGCTCAATCCCCAAAGGCATTCCAAGAGGAAAATGACCCCCATAGGTCACTTGTTTTGGTGGACTACACTTTATTTTGGCAAGGGCAAAGCCAGGTTTCATGGAGCGCTTTTGAAGGAAAAGAACAAAACAAGGCATGGTGGAACATGCTTGTAATTTAACCCCAGCACTGGGGAGTTAGAAGCAGGAGGACTGCTAGTTCAAGGCCAGTGTAAGTTACATGGTAACCCTGTTTCAAACAAACACTCATAAAATTATGAACACAAAAATGCCAATGGTCATTCTAGTAACACTCAATATGAGTGAAATTACAGCAGAGGAAAGTTAGAGTTAACACAGTGGCTTTGAGTGACTATGATTAAAATATGTTATTTTTGCAATAAAAAAATTATTTACCAGGTATGGTGGCACACGCCTCTAAGTCTCAGCACTTGGGAGGCAGAGGCAGGAGGATCTCTGTGAGTTCAAGGCCAGCCTGGTCTACGTAGTGGGTTCCAGGCCAGCTGGAGCTACAGGGAGACACTGTCTCAAAAAGACCAGAAAAGATTTTATTTTATGTGTATGAGTGTTTTGCCTGCATGTATGTAAGTACACCATGTCATACAATGCCCACAGAGGTCCCCTGGTACTGGAGTTAAGGACAGTTGTTAGCTTCAATGTGGGTGGGAACCAAACTCTGGTCCTCTACATGAGCAGTTAGGACTCTTAACTGCAAGCCATCTCTCAAGTCCCTAAAATTATTTTTATTTTGTTTTCTGTTTTTTTTTTTTTTTTTTTTTTTTTTTTTTTTTTTTTTTAAGACAGCGTCTCCCTTTAGCTCCAGCTGGCCTGGAACTCACTATGTAGACCAGGATGGCCTCAGTCTCATATAGATCTATTTGCCTCTGTGATTAAAGACCTGTGCCACCATGCCCAGATTATTTTTGCAATGTTTATAAAAATAAAAGACAAGGTAACTATATTGCTTAGACCCTCTGTCAGGGCCTTGGAAGGTGCTGTGCAAGTAGGGGACCTGAAACTTAAGGTCCCTTAGCTTTAGGTAAACCCACCTCTAGGCAAATGATTTGAGGCCATTTTCAATGGCTATAAGATACATGATTAAGATACAGAAAATCTGAAAGTAGGGTCCTGGTAGACATTTTATTAGTGTAACTGATAATTATGGTATTTTTCTTTCTTTTTTTTTTAATGGAAAACTATTATAATGGCCATTTTTATTTTAGAATTGGAATTCTACAGATTTGGGTGAAAATACATTCTTTTTTCTTCCATGAATGACATTGGATAGTAACTAAGGAAAAGTTTCTCAAGTAACAAAAACACAAAAGGCAACGCAAAATGCTCCAAAGGCAACATAGTAACAGTAATGTTCTTGAACCATAGTTGCTCCTTATATCAAAAAATTATTATTATAAGATTGTATAGACTCAAGTCTTCCTTCAAACATGACGCTATCAAGAATCTTTAAAATATAACTTAAGTATTGGGTGTGGTGGTACATGACTTTAATCCCAGCACTCAGGAAGTAGACGCAGGAGGATCTCTGTGAGTTCAAGGCCAGCATGGTCTACAGAGTCAGTTCAGGACCACTGGGACTACAGGGAGACCCTGTCTCAGAAAGGCCAAAATAAATAAACAAATAAAATATAACTAAGTCTCCCTGGAGACTATCTAAAGTTCCTTACCATTTCTAGATTTTCTGGAATAGTAGCATCAAGAGCGTTCTGAGGAGGAAAAAAAGAGAAATTAATTCATCGTATGTTTGATATGTGTCCTTCCTTTACCTGCTGTTTTCTAGGATGCTTCTTCTTCCCCTGACCTGTTTCTTTCTGAGAAGAGAATTCATAAAGTAGACATGGAAGGCCAACACTTGGGTAGTAGTCCCCTAACCTGCCCTTCAAGACATGAGCTCTATTCTTCAAGACCTTAAAATGTAGCCAGAGAAAGAACACTGACTAACAGTGGGGGAGAATACAGATGGGTAGCAGTGAGCAGATCAATTAGGACACCATTACAAAAATATAACTCCAAGCATGGCACATGCCTTTAATGCCAGCACTTGGGAGGCAGAGGCAGGCAGAGCTCTGTGAGTTCAAGGCCAGCCTGGTCTACACAGCAAGTTCCAGGCCAGCTGAGGCTATAGGGAGACCCTTTCTGAAAAAGGGCACACACACACACACACACACATCAAACTTGAAAAGGGTATTTCTTTTATATTTTAAATTGACACATTCATGGAATACCATGTGATATTCCTGTACATGAATACACTGTGCTCATGAAGTGAATATATCTGATTGGGGAAATATGATGATATTGACTATTTACATCTAAGTAAGTCTTATGGAATCTATAGTAAAGAACTACCACGGTTACAGGTTGATTCTCAGTGTATGAAAAACAAGTGAAGCTAGGAGTAAGGGTATATGCCTAGAATCCCAGCACTTGGGAGACTGAGGCAGGAGGATCTGGAGCTCAGGTCAGCCCATAGGACATACCACAAGACCTTGTCTCAAACACACACACACACACACACACACACACACACACACAAATGGTGAATTACAAGGAGAGAATACTCTTAGTCCAGTGTGCTCTTCCTACTTGGTTATAAATTAGGCCATCAAAACATATATTAGTTAGGAACTGACTGTGACATATGGAACTGGTTAACATAATGGCTGTGCTAGCTCTCCAGCCTGAAATTGGCTGATTTAAAATAAGCAGAAGGGGGTAGAGAGATGGTGCAGTAGTTAAGAGCACTGGCTGTTCCTGCAGAGTACCCAGGTTCGATTCCCAGTACCCACATGGTGGCTAACAACCATCTGTAACTCCAGTTCCAGGGGATCCAACACCCTCTTCTGACCTCCTCAGGCATTGTACCACACAGATGCACTTACATATATGCAGGCAATACACTCATACACATAAAATAAAAATAATAAAAGAGATGTTCAATTAATAATAGTTGGTGGTTGAAAAAAAACAATATTAAGTGCACATTGTATAAACAAGTGAAAAAAAATCAATCTTTACTGAGGAGTTATATCTTGAAGACATGGCCAAAGGCTCAGGCACCATACCATTAAACTGGATGTTAGAGTGACTACCTACTAAGAAAAACAAATAGAATATACATATTCCTGTATATTAAAAACATCCCCTTTATAACGCAGTCTTGGAAATTCAGTGGAATTCAAAGCATGAAAAGATTGTTTCAGATCAGGCTGGGGTGGGACAGTTACCTATGGAGCAGGAATCAGAACAAAAGATCTTCCCTGGGTATGGCTCCGGGAGGGATAACTCCCAGACAAGAGAGATACTAAACTTCCAGTTACTTAAGACATCTCTACTTGTTTTGTTTTGTTTTCATTTGATGTGTATGAGTGTTTTGTCTGCACAGGTGTTCCACATGTGCACAATGCCCATGGAAACCAGAAGAAGGTGTTGGATTTTCCCTGGAACTGGAGTTAAGGATGGTCATTAGCTCATGTGAGTGCTGAGAACTGAACCTGGATCTCTACAAGAGCAGCAAGAGTTCTTAACTGCTAAGCCATCCCTCCCTACTTAATATTTTATCCAAAGTAAATCAATTTTGGAAACATAGGCCACTGTCCCCATTATCTTCTCTTAATGCCTCCAAGTGGCTTCACTGGTCCTGAAATTTCACAGAGAATTCAGATTAAATGTGGGCTAAGGATGGAAAGAAATATACTGGTTAAAAGAAGATGTTTCCTACCTGTTGCAGCTGTTTGACTTTTTTCTTTGCATTTAGACCAAACTGAGGGTGCTCCACTTCCTTGAGCCAAGTTTCCTTGGGCAATTTATACACTTCCAGCCAAACATCCCCACCTCCTGCATTGGAAAACCAAACAAGCATTCAGTAACTACTAGCAGGTGACAAGTTTCTGCTGAAGAATGGCCTGTCTTCTCAGAACTATGGGCAGAAGACACAGCTCCTCTGCAGTAAGCACCCAGGAAAGAGTGACATGGACAAAGTGAAGGGGATGTTGTTTAGCAATGGTTACTGCAAGCCCTCATTTACCAAGTAACTTGCATACAAGAGTAGTCCCCTCACACCATCACTACCTAATGGAATCAGGGACTTCTCACACAACACTGATACAACTGTGTTTTTAATCAAATTGTCTTCTTTGCTAAGTTCCCATGCTTTCTATGTCACAGTCAGTTCTACTGACATTTTGCCCAAGAGCTGTGCCTGTCTCAGGAAGAAGGTGGCATAGTAAAAGAGGCTTAGGTCAAAGGAAGGGTTGGAATTGGGACAGGCTCCAAAGAATTCTTCTGATCAGTTATTTGAGGAGATAATGACCTATGGGAAGACAGTGAGACCTTATCTCACCATAGAAACAGGCTCAGCTTCTGTTCCAAATACTGACCAGGTTGGGAAAGATGGCTCTCCCATGGAATGAGATGCTGCCTAAGTGTTCCATTAAAAACATAGTCATCTGGACACTTTAATTTCACACTTCTAGCTTCTAGAACCACAAGGGAATAAGTGTCTATTATTCTAAGCTACTAACTTTGTGGCACTCCATTATGGCCACCCTAGAATATGAAGACAGATGCTATAAACATATCCTTCATATAAAAGCACTATAAAATATAGATCTTCCTCAAACATTTAACATTTGAGGGCCCTTTGGAAAAAGATATAAATAGAGGACCATATATAACATGTCTAAATATTTAAAAGCTAAAAATCAAAATACCAAACATTTGAATAAAATGTCTTCTTAAAACAGGAATAACTGCAGCTGGCAAGATGGGATAACAGATACTAAGATTGGTGGATAAAACTTCAAGAAGAACTAGGAGAGTTATAATTTCTGAAAGTAGCTCCCCCAAATGTTTACTAATTACAGTTGTGACTTTTTTGTAAGTGTGTATTGCCTGCATGTAGGTAAGTGCACCCATGTCATGCAATACCCATGGAGGTCAGAAGAGGCTGTTGGATCCCCTGGGACTGGAGTTATGGACAGTTGTTAGCTGCCATGTGGGTGCTGGGATTTGAACCTGGGTCTTCTGCAAGAACAACCAGTGTTCTTAACCACTGAGCCATCTCTCCAGCCCCACAATAGTGGCTTTAAGATATGTCCAAATATTCTTTGATTCTCCTACCTCCAGAAGGTACCTAAACTCACCTCCCCCGAGTGTTGTCTGAACTTAGTGACTTGCTTCTTAACAAAAGGCTGAAAGGAGGCCAGGCATGGTGGTGTACACCTTTAATCCCAGCACACAAGAGGCAGAGTCAGGTGGATTTCTGTGAGTCCAAGGCCAGCCTGCACTACATAGTGATAATCTGTCTCAAAAATAAATCACAACAAAATAAAGTACAGAAAGGAAAAAAACTAAGGCAGTCATAGTGGTGAGGACCTATAGTGACAAATGCTCAGGAGGCCAAAGCAGGAGGATTGCTTAAGCCCAGGAGTTTGGGGCCAGTCTGGAGGAACCTAGAAGACCTGATTTTAACCAACTCATTTAAGTTAATATCAGTAGAAGTGAGTCAACCTGCGGTTATACTGTTCTTGACATGATGCCCCGAGAAGAACACTTCAATCCTGTGTTATCTTCCACCCAAATCCCTAGATCCTGGTGAATGGAGAGGCATTCCACAAGATATCTAGCTAGTTCTGCAAAATGTCCAGGTAATAAGAACCAAGTAATGGCCAAGAAGCTGTCACAAGCATAGACTAAGGTTGTCACATGACTAATGCAAGAGGCAAAAAATTATATTAGCAGGAAAAATGATGAAATTAGAGAAATCTGCATAAAAAATAAAAATAATAAAATAATTTAAAAAAACAAAGGCAAGGAGTAATCTTTAGAGAAACAATTTATTTTGTTTGTTTGTTTGTTTGTTTGTTTTTAGAGACAGGGTCTCACTGTGTAGCCTCAAACTCATTATCCTCCTACCTCATCCTCCCAAGTGCAAGGATTACAGGTATGTACTACTACACCTAGCTAAATCTAGAATGATTTATAAATAAAAGATCTACAGTAAAAGTCATTTGGAAGAGATGCAGATCTGAGCCTTCCTCATGGCCTTTGAGTGGCCTTGCCTTGGAGGAGGAAGGCTGCAAAGTCCCCACTTTGAGAGATTTCCATCTTTACACAGGTGCTTTGCTTGCTGGTATCATCCTGAAAAGAAGAGAGATGTAGGTAGAGTTAAGTACAGTCTGTGAACTAGGAAGAGTATAAGTCAGGGACTCTTGTGTTCACACAAGTACAGAGGTCCTTGGGAAGTGTGAGATATCGTGAGATGCTTCACACCACTTCCCATCTCTGTACAGGAATTGGACATGATGGCATGTAAAGAGATGGAACTTGCTTCACATTTTGCTCCTAGTAAGTCATTGTCCTAGTTTGCTTTCTGTTGTGATAAACACCACGAGCAAAAGCAACTTGGAGAGTGCATTAATCACTTTTCTGTTGCTGTGATAAAAACATTATGACCAAAGCAACTTATAGAAGAATGTATTTAGACTTGTGGTTTCAGAGGCATGAGAGCCCATCATGGTAGGGGAGGCATGGCAGGAGGAAGCAGGAGCAGAAAGCTGAGAGCTCACATCTTCAAGCACTCTCAGGAAGCAGGAAGAGTGAGCAAGCTGGAAGTGGGCCCAAGCTATGAATTTGAAAAGCCTGACCCCAGTGACACGCTTCCTCCAGCAAGGCAATACCTCCTACCCCTCCACAAACAGCACTACCAACTGAAGCAAAGTATTCAAATACATGAGCTTACAGGGGACATTTCTCATTCAAACCACAAGGAGAAAAGGGTTATTTCATCCTATAGGTTACAGTCCATCATTGAGGGAAGTCAGGGCAGGAACTCAAGCAGGAACAAAGGCAGGAACCATGAGGGAACACTGCCTGGATTTGTTCCCAGGCTCATATTCAGCTACATTTCTTATACAGCCCAGGCCCATGTGGGGGGAGATGGCACTACCCATAGTGTGGTGGGCCCTCTTACGTCAATCAGCATAAAGAAAATGTTCCCTACTGGGAATGGTGGCACAGCCCTTTAGTCCCAGCTCTTGGGAGGCAGAGGCGGCAGATCTGTGAGTTCGAGGCCAGCCTGGTCTACTTAGTACATTCTAGGCTAGCTGGGGCTACAGGGAGACCCTATCTCAAAAAAAGACAAAGAAAAGAAAGAAGGAAGGAAGGAAAAAAGAAAAAGAAAAAGAAAGAAAAAAAGAAAGAAAAAGAAAAGAAAAGAAAATGCTCCCCACAGGCTAATCAAATGAGGAAATCCCTCAAGTGAGGTTCACTCTTCTCATGTGTGTCAAGTTGACAACCAAGATTAGACATCACAGTCATGAAATGCTCTCAGATCTGGTTTGCAAACCTTAAAGTCTGTGCTGTACTCAATTATCCAATTGTGTCAAAATGAGTTTTATATGACCCTGAAAACTCTTGTGGTGTTGGACAAAAAGCTTTATGTAGACTATATTAGAGGCTGGATATAACCCTAGAAAAAAAGCTACTCAGATTTGGAGCCAGTTAAGAGAAGCTCCACAGTATGGTTATGCTATACCTTTAAGGAGCGTAAAGACTACTAGCAAAGTAAGGTGGCTAGACTAGTTATATAATAAGCTCCTAAATCTGCTTAAAGGGAACTATTATGGCTCAGCAGTTAAGAGCACTGACTGCTCTTGCAGAGGACCTGGGTTCAATTCCCAGCACCCACATGGCGGCTACAAATCGTCCTTAATGCCAGTTCCAGGGAAATCCAAAGCCCTCTTCTGACCTCTGCAGTATTGCACAACATGGGTGAACTCACATACATGCAGGCAATACACTCATACACATAAAATAAAAAATTATAAATAGGGCTGGAGAGTTGACCCAGTGGTTAAGAGCACTGACTGCTCTTACAGTGGACCGGGGTTTGATTCCCAGCACCCACATGGCGGCTATGAACCATCCTTAACTCCAGTTCCAGGGAAATCTGAAGCCCTCTTCTGACCTCCGAGGCACTGCATGACGCGGGCGCACTCACATACATGCAGGCAATGCACTCATACACATAAAATTAAAAAATTATTAAAAAAAATTATAAATAAAATATTTTTAAAAACAACAAAAAACATTTTTTATTTATATATCTTAACATCTATCAAATTGCCATAGAAATTTTTAAATATGCAAAAAGATAGAAAATTACATAATCAGTTCCTCATACATCATGATGTTCCATTGTGCCATTACAGTACTCCACTACGCCATAGCATAGCTCAATTTTGGCATCATAGGGCAGCATTTTGTTACGTCAAAATGATACACTGTACCAATACAATGCTCCATGGTGCCACCACAATGATGCACTGTGATGCCAAATTCTCCATTTTGCAGTCTTAATGTTTCCCTATGATGTGGCAATACTTCATTGTGCCACCATGATGCTGTATTTTGACAAGATAATGCTCCATTGTGCCACACCAATATTGTAATGTGCCATCACAATGGTGCATTTAGACCTTACAATACTTCACTATGTCATCACAATACACAATTTTGCCATTACAATGCTGCATTGTGACATTGCAATGCTTCAAATTGACATCACATTACTCAATTGTGTGTCACAATGTTGTATTAGATCATGACAATTTTCAACTGTGCCATCAAAATGTTGCACAGTAGCATCACAATGCTCCATTGTGACATCACTATCCTGCATGGTAATATAACCATACTCCATTGTTCCATCATAATACTGAATTGTAGCCAGGCTGGTGGTGCACACCTTTAGTCCTAGTCCTTGGGCAGCAGAGGCAGGTGGATCTCTATAAGACTGAAGCCAGCCTGGTGTACATAGTGAGTTCCAGGTGGGTTGGGACTAGAGAGATCCTGTGAAAACAAACAAACAAACAAAAAAACAAAAACAAGCAATAATGCATTGTGACTGCACAAACCTCAATTTTGCCAATACAATGCAGCATTGTGACATCAAAGGTCCACTGTGACAGGAAGTTTCAATGTGTTATCATAATGATACTTTGTGACACCACACTGTGACATTGTGACATCACACTGTGACATTGTAACATCATACTGTGACACTGTGATATCACAAAATGCACTGTAACATTATATTGCAACACTGTGACATCACAATGCCAGTTTTAATACTTCCCAAATTCAACAAATTGCTAATTTTAAATTTAAAATATTAGTTCCTGGGGACTGGAGGGATGGCTCATGCACAGGATCCAGGTTAGGTTCCCAGGACCTACATGGTGGCTAACAACTGTCCAGAACTCCAGTTCCAGGGATCTGATGCCCTCTTCTCGCCTCTGTGGGCATTGCATGCATGGGTGCATTTACATACATGCAGGCAAAACATTCATACACATAAAATAAAAATAAATGATTCAAAAAAATTAATTCATGAATAGCAGCTAATATCTAGTCTGTTTTCCAGTTTCCTTGATTGTTTTCACAATTGGTGTGTTCAGATTACAAAATAAACTAATCACATCTAGAGGCTCATACTAGCTAGTTTTCTAATGTTTTAAGGTTGATAATTGAAAACGGGCATTATCATCCTGACTTATCACCAATAAAGTTCCCGTCAGTCACTGGTGGTCATTGCCTAGACCACCACTCATCAAAATGGCTACAAAATCAAGAGCTCAATTCTAGCTAACACTCATTCTTCATTTATCTCTCTTTTTTAAAGCCCATTGAGTCCAGGAGCTGGAGATGGCTCAGTGATTAAGAGCACTGGCTGCTCTTGCAAAGAACCTGGGTCCGATTCCCAGCACCTACATGGCAACTAACAACTGTCTGTAACTCCAGTTCCAGGGGATCTGACAGTCTCTTCTGTCCTCTGCGGGCATTGCACGACATAGGTGCACTTACCTACATGCAGGCAATACTCGCATACACATAAAATACAAATAATAAATTTTTTAAAAATCTGCCCTTATGGCTAGAGAAATAGCTCAGCAGTTAAGAGCACTTGCTGCTCTTGCAAAGAACCCAGGTTCAGCTAAAAGTCATAATGTCCTTGGGCCTGTTAGCAAAGAACCCAGGTTCGGTTCCCAACACCCACATGGCAGCTCACAAGTATCTGTAACCCCAGTTCCAGGGGATCTGATTCTCTCTTCTGGCCTCCTTGGGCACCAGGCATGCATGTGGTACACATATAAACACATAGGTAAAACATACACATAATAAGAGGTTAAAAAAAGAAATTCCTCAACTATTTCTTTAAAATCTGCCCTTAGAAGATAGTATTTCTGACAACTCACTAATTAAAAAATACTGAGAAGTATGGTCTTTTGCAATGTGACAGCAAGTCTTTTGGGGGGAGAGATCAGAGAGAATGGTAAAGGCTCTCTGACTTCCTTGAACAACTTCTCTTTTTAAAATTTATTTTTATGTGTATGAGTGTTATTATGCCTGCATATATGTAAGTGCACCCAAGTCCTGCAATGCCTGCAGATGACAGAAGAGGGTATTAGATTCCCTGGAACTGTACGTACAGGCAGTTGTTAGCTGCCAAGGGGTGCTGGGATTCAAACCCAGGTTCTCTGCAAAAGCAGCCAGTTAGTTCTCTGAACCACTAAGTCATCTCTTCAGGCCCCAATTTCTCTTTCTGAACCTTGACATTGTTTCACTGTACCAATCCGGATGATCCATGAAGGCCTATTTCTGATAAGCTTTCTTCATCCCATCCTGAGGTATTCTTGACTACTCTCAGAATCTTCTAATAATCTTCCTTCTTCCTATTCTTCAATTCTAGTTGTGCTTTTTTTTTGGGTTTTTTTTTTTTTGAGAGAGGGTCTCCCTGTAGTCCCAGCTGTCCTGGAACTCACTATGTAGACCAGGCTGGCCTTGAAATCACAGAGATCCACCTGCCTTTGCCTCCCGAGCGCTGGGATTAAAGGTGTACGCCACTTAGGAGTTGTGTTTGTTTCTTTGTCCATCTGATGTACTTCATAGCTCCACACTGCTTTTTCACACTGTTCTATGTCCATGTAACACTGCTGTTCTCATCTAGGCTTTATGTGCCATTAAGGTTCACTTGGGTGTCAGGGTGATCTGGCTACAACATTTGTCATCCCTTTGATCGACAGTGTTGAGCTTCCCTGTTCTACTGCATTATCTAATTTCCTAGGCTTAGAAGTACTCATATCCCAATCACAGTAGAGTTTAGCATTTGCTTTTATAGTGTTAAGGTCTGTCCCCAAGGCTTCTGCGTTCAGCTCAAAAACTAGTTTGCAATCTCCTTCTATAACTGCATTTATTCCCATTTTTGTTCATTGGTTTGTTTTGCTTTATGGACTTTGGCATTTCTATAAGCAACACAAGCCTTTCTCCTGGTCAGGAGCCATCCTGAGAACTACTTCAAGAACCCGAACTGCCTTCTCCATACAATCTTCATAATAAAGGCAAAGGCCTGGTAACATCACATTACTAGTATTCATTCATAAAATGTCCCTGGCCATAGATTCTGCTTCTGGATATTGGTCTAACCTTGCTGAACACTGTACTTTGTCTGAGGATTTTGAAGGGATGACAGGCAGAGGCAGGCAAATTCTGGGTGGGTCCATGTAGAAAATGACCTTCCAGATGCATTTCAAAATCTGTTTCTAGGAACAATAAGATGGGTCAGATGGTAAGGCTCTTGCTGTGCAAGTCTGAAGACCTAAGTTCATCCCTGTATTCCACAGTAGAAGAGAACTGATTCCTGAATATTGTCCTTTGGTCTCCACATGTCCGAGGTGGCACATATGCCCCCTGCCCCCGCTCTGCACTAAAAAAATCCATTTCTGTTATTTTCTCATTCCATGACTGCATTAGCATCCTTTTATTTACTTATTTTAAATTAATGTGTATGTGTCTATAAGAGTGTGCCATGTTGGTGTGGGTGCCCAAGGAGACCAGAAGTCAGCATTGGATACTGTCTTAGTTTGTTCTTCATTGCTGTGACAAAATACTCTGACCAATACCAACTTGGGGAGGAAAGGGTTTATTCAGCTCACAACTCCCAGGTCGCAGTTCATCAGGGGGCCCAAGGTAGGAACCTGGAAGCAGGAGCTGGAGCACAGGCCATGGAGGAATGCTGCTTACTGGCTTGCTCCCTTGGCCCCTGCTCAGCCTGCTTTCTTATGCAACACAGGCCCACCTGCCCAGGGGTGGCCCTACCCACAGTGGGCTGGGCCCTCCCACATCACTCATCAAGAAGATGCCCCTCAGACATGGCCACAGGCCAGTCCAATAGAGGCAATTCCCCGATTGAGGATCCCTCAACCCAGGTGTGTCAAGTTGACACTAAAGCTATCCAGCACAGATACCTTGGAGCTGGAGTTATAGGAGGCTGTCAGCTACCTGATGTGGGTGCTGGGAACCTAACACAGTTCCTCTATAAGAACAGCACAAATTCTTAACCACTGAGCCATCTCTCCAGCCCCTGTCAGCATTCTTCAATGCCTGTTTTTTTTTTGTTGTTGTTTTCTAAATATTTTATTTATTATTTTTATTTTATGTGTCTGAGTATATTGCCTGCATGTATGTAAGTGCACCCATGTTGTACGGTGCCCACAGAGGTCAGACTAAGGCATCGGATGCCCTGGAACTGGAGTTATGGATGATTGTTAGCTGCCATGTGGGTGCTGGGAATTGAACTTTGGTCCTCTACAAGAACAATTAGTGCTCCTAACCACTGAGCCACCTCTCTAGCCCTTTCAACTCCTGTTTTGCCTGGGCATTTTAATGGTCTAGTTCCAAGGCTCTCTGGAAACTGATAGGCTGTATCACATTCCCTAGTGAGAGGTATACTTGCCTTCCGAAAGATATCCCCAGACAAAACTTTCATCCAATCTTACTAACTGTTGTACATCTCCAGGAACTTTACAGAACCTTCCATGTATCATCAATATAGTTTCTCAATTGCCATAATAGCTAGCATTATTTATTTATTTATATTTATCTTTTTATTTACTTATTTATTATTTTTATTTTATGTGTATGAATGTAATGCCTGCAAGTAGGTAAGTGCATCCATGTCATGCAATGCCTGTGGAGGTCAGAAGACGGTGTCAGATCCCCTGAAACTGGAGTTACAGACAGTTGTTAGCCACCATGTGGGTACTGGGAATTTAAACTAGGTCCTCTGCAAGATCAGTCAGTGCTCTTATCCACTGAGCCATCTCTCCAGTCCCAATAGCTTAGCATTTTTTAGTCACATATCTTTATGGCATTTGCATGATAGTTAAGCTTCACTGTTGTACCTCTTGGCATAGTATACATTTTCTTGTTCCTTGAAACTTTGCTTCCCTCTTTGCTTCTTCATCCTCATTACATCATTGTACTCTGTAGCAGTGCTATTTTACCACCAGGACCAGAGAGACAGGTAGGAGGAGGGCATTTCGTTTCAATCTAAGACAGTTATTATTTAAAGTAAATTTGCTAGTTTTATATATTCTGAATACAAGTCTTTTATCATGTACTTTGCAATGACTAAAATTTGATGTTTCAAGCTAAAGGTAAAAGAACAAGGACTTACCGTTTCATTGATGGTTTTGATTAGGAAAAGACTGTCCTTATAAAAGTAAAATAATCTAATGATACCTGAAACAGAAAAATAAGTGAGAATGAGAGACTAGGAAGCCAAGAGGAATGGGGGCTTTGTGTCTGTTTTCTGAACTCATCATCCTGAGCCCACACATTTGTAGCCCCTACAAAGCCTGAGCTGCTCTTAGTCTCCCAGCCTTCCTCCACCATACTTTGAAATATTCAGGTTGTTCCCTCTTCTGGTTCCTTTCCACCTATCTAGTATTACCCATGTTTCTTGCAAGTCTCCTGTAAGTACACCAGCCATACAGTCCATTCCTTGACTCCCAGATACCTGTTTTGGCACATTACTCCTTCAAACTATTACCTAACTATTTTCTATGAATGTGATGGGTTCCTCAAAGGATTCATAGCTCCTTTGAGAGAAAGGATCATCCCTTCCCTTTCCATATGCCTCAACCCCCAAGGTTCCTCATGCAGTAAAGTCTGTTGAATGAATAACTAATTCAGCATGTGACTGTCATCTACCAGGACCTCTTACTTTTCTTTAGGTGCCTCCCAGTTACTCATAACCTGTCTTTGCACTCATGATATAGATAGATCACATAAAGGTACCTGGCCCACTGTGGAGAAAGTTTAATAAAGATTCATGGGATATCTGCTCCATGACACTGAATGTGCAAGGGACACCAAGGCAGGGTGCCTTTGAATTCATCATATGGAGGGATACACAGTCATGAAACCACTTGTATAATGGAGCACCTGGAACATGATTCTTTCTTTAGCCCAGACTCCTCCTGAGTATCCCACACAGATATCCTCTAGGTGCCTCAGATTTGTGGGTGTTCAAATGTACTTCAACTCATGCCCTGAACACCCTATTCTCCTGTCACAGTCATTAATGAATGGCACTGTCATCCACCCAGTTATCTAATTCACAAAGGCATCAGCATCATCTGCACTGCCTCCAGCATACTTCCCCACTCCCTCACCTCAGCATATGTTTCATCATTAAGTCTTTTAATGGGGAAGGGGGATTGAGGCAGGGTCTCAAGTAATCTAGTCTAACCTCAAAATCATTATGTAGCTGAGGATAACTTTAAAAATATTTTATTTATTATTTTCATTTTATGTGTATGAGTGTATTGCCTGCATGTATGTGAGTGCACCCACGTCATGCAATGGTGCGGAGGTCAGAAGAAGGCTTCAGATTCCCCTGGAACTGGAGTTAAGGACAGTTTGCAACCGTGATGTGGGTGCTGGGAATCGAACCCGGGTCCTCTGCAAGAGAAATCAGTGCTCTTAACCACTGAGCCATTTCTCCAGCCCCTGAGGATGACTTTAAACTCCTGATCTTGCCTTCCACCTCAAGTGCTAAGATTACAAGTATGTGTTAACACTCATTATCAAGTCTTTCTATTTTCCTTCTTAATTGTAAAAATTTTATTACATCTTATTTATGTCAGAGGAGGAATGCATGCCACAGAGCACGTGTGTTGTGGTCAGAGGACAATTTGAAGGAGTCAGTTCTCTACTTCTACCATGTGGGTCCTGGGGATCAAACTCAGGGCATCTGACATGGCAGCAAGGAGCTTTACCCTCTGAGCCATCTTGCTGGCCTTCCCTTTTCATTTTTAAGCTTTCTGTTTTCCACAGATTTTAAACTTAGATAAAAGATGCAACGTAGTATAGAAATTTCCTTTGTATCGTTCATCTCACTTCTCCTAGGTTAGCATCTACATCACTACAGTATAATTTTCTTCTCATTTTAACAGCCCCCGCCTGGCTTAGCCCATCATAATTTCCCTCCTAAATGAAACTAGCAGTGCTTCCTGGTCTTTTTTTCTCCGGTTTCTCTTTTTCAACGAAGCTCCTGCCTGAGGGTACTTCACTGTGCCTGTGTTGGTCAAGCAGAGCCGGCGGGGAAGAGGGACCTTTCTGTTCTGCTTGTCCCAGTGCTACCTCCCTGACTTCCTGGCCAATGCAGACACTTGCCTTCTCATCCTCACAGAGTAGGGAAAGTCCCCAGGGTAGCATCAGGTCACTCAAACATAAAGACAGGCGAGGGGAGCCCCAGGTCTTTGGGTTTTAGCAACAGTTCACGTATCCAGGACACTGTCTATAACCTTATGTCCTACCCTCAGATCCATCCTCAGGCTGAGGGAGAAAATCCAGAGCTGGTTTATATGAGTATCAAGACAGAGTATTGGAAAGGTGCAGACTCTGGTGCTACACTGGCTGGTTTGAAATCTCCTTGCGCCACTTACTTCTGTGTTACCTCAAGGATGTATTCAACCTCCACATCTTAGTTGCCTCTTTTGACTAGAGATGATGATAAATTATTCTTCCCTTAGACAGATGTAACCACTAAATAACATCTAAGAAATGTTATAACAGTGCCTGGCACACCGTACTTGCTCTGTAGATATTGATTACTACTATATGACCAGGGACAATGCTCTATGTTTGACCTCACTCATACACTTGGAAAAGAGATTTAAATGAATAACAGTCTATAGATCCCTGTTAATTAAACTTAAAAAGGAAGATGAGCCGGACATGGTGGCACACGCCTTTAATCCCAGCACTTGGGAGGCAGAGGCAGGCAGATCTTTGTGAGTTCGAGGCTGGTCTACATAGTGAGTTCCAGGACAGCTGGGGCTACAAGGAGACCCTGTCTCAAAAAGACAGAAAAAAAAAAAAGGAAGACGAAGAACAAATACCCATTTCATCCACAGGAGCAATAAGCACTTCATTCCCCAAGTCTGTGGCCCAGATGGAAGTGACATCAACCTTAAGCTTCTCCCAAACATATATTCTTTTAGCATTGTACAGGCTATAAATTGAGAATCCTTTGACTCCTCCAATAAACAGATAATCTTGTGAAACAGCCATACCACCAGGTGTTTTGTCGAGCTGGAAAAACACACACAGGACACAAAACTAAGTATTTTCAGCTGTTGATATCTTCCAGCAATGTGAGCTAACTTTTCAAAGAGAGGCTAGGGCTCTTCCTACACATACCATTCCCAAACATAGTGCCCGTCTAAAATTCTTGCCCTAAGCATTTCACTTTTAGGGGAAAGAGGCCAGAGAAAACAAAGAAGTTGAGAATAGATATACATTCAGAACATGAGAGCAACCCCAGGTTCGTGTTTTAGTCAGTCTAGGGCATTATGGGAAGAGCAATAGCTGAGGCATTGGTGATTCTCGACTGTCAAGCATTAAAAAAGAAAGAGTGGATTAATAAATCAAGAAGGTTCAATGTTAATAGCACTATAAAAGGCCTTTGTGTAATCTTCAACTCACCAGAACTCCCCATTTCCCCAGGCTGTTTACCAGACAGATCTCTTTTGATCAACAACAGCATGCCTACAATCTCTCAAAAATGCATCTGTGTCATTAAATGGGAGGAATCTGGAAGGAATTCCTTCCTTCCTTGGATCAAATGTTTTCATTTATTAACTCTCAAGTAAGAAACAGGGACTCGTTTATACCTGGATTTCTTCAAGTGGAGGGTAGATCGTGGGTGGGATCCGGTTGTTTTCAATCTCCTTCACTGCCTCTCTCTCTTCAATAATTTCCCATGACTGGTCAAACAGAAGGTTCACCAGCTTGTTGATCATTCTATAAGGCTGAGGCAGGGAATCCAACCCCTCATATATGTCCTGGAAAACATAATCCTTTTCATCATCCTTCGGCCAGTCCATCTCTGTTGGGAATGGAATCTCCAGTGGTCCTTTCCCAGTAAACACAGACACTTTCATCTTCTGAGTTTGACCTCCTTTGGAGGATGACATTACTGAAGGTAGCACTGAGAACTTCTGGGGAACTCTGAAAAGCTAAGAAGCAAAGTAAGCAAGGACACTTTGAGAAAAAAGTAAAGAACAAGAAGCTAACCATCATCCTTCTCTAGCACAATGTCATATGGGGATTATTTTTCTCAGAGACTGGGTCTCCTTACTTATTACAGGATTGTTACCACATTCCTAGCATATGGTCTTCATATTCATGAACATATCAGAAGGTCAGGTATCTCATATGCCAACCCAAGATGATGTGCACTGTAATGGAAGGAGAAATTTGGCATCATGTTCATGAAAGAACATTAGCTGTCTTTTGTTCCAAAGGGAACCCACTTACAACTAATACCTTCCCTCAAGGTTTTCTGCCTTTGAAAATGGCTCCTATTCAAGCCAAGACTCTCCCCTTTTCCCCTGTCCCTCAGGCCCAATCAGATGCAGTTCACTACTTCCAATCTTTGTTGGGCAATTTGTTCTCTTTTCACTTTCTCACGGGTGGCCCCACAGGAGTTCTGTAGGCCTCATGCCTAAGGCCTGTGAGATTCTTCAAGGGTCTACAGAAAGGTCTGAGACATGCAAAAAATACGGACTATAAAGCCTATAAAATTGGAATAAATGCTTCTAAAATATTTATGATTTATCAGCTTTACTCTGTATATGTATATAAAGTCATAGGAGTAAATATCTGTTTTTCAAAAACCTCAAAATTGGGGAATTGGAAAGATGGCTCAATGGTTAAGAGCATGGCTGCTTTTGCAGAGGACCTGGGTTTGGTTCCCAGCACCCACATGGTGACTAACTACCATCCATAACTCCAGTTTCGGTTCCAATGCCCTCTTCTGGCTTCCACAGGCATGGCACGATACAGATGCACTTACATACAGGCAGGCAAAAATGCTCATACACAGAGAAGATAAAAATATTTTTAAAAATTAAAAGCAAAACAAGAAGGGGAAGAAGAAGAGAAGAGGAAGAGGAAAAAGAAGAGGAGGAAGAATAGAATAGGAGGAGGAAGGAGGAGAAAGGATGAGGAGGAGGAGGAGGACAGGAAGAGGAGGGGAAGGAGGAGGAAGAAGAGGGGTTGTAGAATAGATGCTTAAGCAAAAGAAAACTATAACAAGGTACAACATAATCAAACTGTTCAAAACTAGTGATAGAGACATAGTTTAAAAACCAGCCCAAAGGAAAAGGATATACAGAGCAACAAAATAAAGGATAACAATGGGCTTCTTGAAGGAAGCCATTCAAATGACAAGACAGTGGGGTAACATCTTCAAAGTACAGAAAGAAAAAATTGTCATGGGAATTCTATACCCATGAAGCATATCTTTCATTAAATGAAGGTGAAATAAGGGATTTTTTTTTAGACATACAAAGTTTAAGTCTGGGCATAGTGGTTCACATCTTTAATCCCAACAATCTAGAGGCAGAGGCAGGAGAATGGCACAAGTTCAAGGCCAGCCTGGTCTATATAGCAAGCATCAAGCCTGGACTACAGAATGAGGCCCTGTCTCCAAAAAAATAAATAAATAATAAATAAATAAATAAATAAATAAAAGAAGGCAGGGCAGGGCAGGGCAGGGAGAGATGATTCTGTGCTTAAGAGTATTGGCTATTCTTGCAGAGGACCTGGGTTTGGTTCGAGCACCCTTATGGAGGCCAACAACCACCCATAACTCCAGTTCCCTGGGATCCAACCCCCTTTTCTGGCCTCTGTGGGCATTGCATGACACAGGTGTACCTTCGTATTATGCAAGCAAAACACTCATACACATAAAATAAAATATATATAAATAATTTCTAAAGACATAAAACTGTAGACCATTTCCTATTATTTATCTCTTTAACAAACAGCAAAATGTTTAAACAGGCTGGAGAGATGGTTCGGTGGTTAAGAGTGCCTACTGCTCTTGTAGAGGACTGGAATTCAGTCCTCAACACTAGTATCAGGTGGCTTACAACCACCTGTAATTCCAGTTTCAGGGAATCCAGTGCCCTCTTCTGGCCGCTGCAAGTACCTGCATACATGCACGAGCTCGTGTGTGTGCGCACACACACACACACACACACACACACACAACAAAATAAATTAAAAAAAAATAAGCGGCTTGATAGATGGCTCAGTGATTAAGAGCACTGGCTGCCCTTGTAGAGGACCTGGGTTCAATTCCCAGCACCCACAAGGCAGCTAACAACCATCCTAACTCCAGTTCCAGGGAAATCCAACACCCTCTCCTGACCTCTGTGGGCACTGTATGACATGGGTGCACTTACACACATGCAGTTAAAACATTCATACACATAAAATAAAAATAATAAATAAAAAATAAGAGGCTGGAGAGAATGCTCAGTAGCTAATAACACTTGCTGCTCTTGCAGAGGACCCAGTTCTGTTCCCAGCACCTAAATGGTGGCCCACAACCATCTTTAACTCCAGTTTCAGAGGTTCTCATGTCCTCGTCTGACCTCCCTGGGCACTGCACACACATGACTGGCAGGCAGTCATCTACATAAAAAATAAAAATAAACAAATCTTTGAAAGTAAATAAGTTGGATGAGATGATGCATGCCTTTAATCTCAGCACTTGGGAGGCAGAGGCAGGTGGATCTCTGTGAGATCAAGGCAAGCCTGGTCTCCATAGTGAGTTCCAGGCCAGCTGGGGCTATAGAAGAGTCTGTCTCTAAATAAATAAATAAATAAATAAATAAATAAATAAATAAATAAATAAATGGGGGCTGGAGAGATGGCTCTGTTGAAACAAAATAATAATAATCCAAGTGTGGTGATAGATGCCTATAATTCTAGCCTGTGAGACTGAGGTAGAAGGACTATGAGTTTGAGGCCAGCCTGAGCTACAGATGAAGTTAGAAGCCAACCTGCACTACATAGACAAATTCTGCTCAAACAACAACAATTAAATGTAGTGAGGGGTTAATAACATAGGTAGAAAAAAAGTAACAATAATCATACAAAGACTAAGACAGGATAAACATAAGTGGACTAATATCACTCACAGTTGACTGTGAGTCATGAAAATAGCAAAGCAAAATTACAGTAAAAAAACTAACAAAAGAGATAAAGTGGAGGCTGGAGATTTAGCTCAGTGTAGAGCATTTGCCTAGCAAGCAAGTGCATGGCCCTGGGTTTGGTCCTCAGCTCCCCCGCCAAAAAAATTAAATTAAATTTAAAAAAAAGAAAAAAGAGATAAAAGAGATAAAGTAGACTCACAAAAAGAATTGTTTTTTTAAAAAAAGAAGAAAATCGGGGTATGGTGGGCACACATCTTTAATCCCAGCACTAGGAGGCAGAGACAGGTGGATCTCTGTGAGTTCAAGGCCAGTTTGGTCTACACGGCAAGTTCCAGGCCAGCTGGGGATACAGGGAGACCCTGTCTCAAAAAGATAAAAAGAAGAGGAGGAGGTGGGGGACAGGGGAGATGGGGAGGATCAAAGAACAAATGGGACAAAAAAACAGCAAAGCCTAACCATATCAATAATTATATCAAATATAAACACCTTAACTAAAGGCAGAATTGTCAGATTAGAGAACAATGCTCAGTAAATGCTGAATATTTTTATGCACTTAAGTATAAAGATACATATAGTTTAAAACTAAAGGATGGGCCAGGCATAGTGGCGCACATTTTTAATCCCAGCACTTGGGAGGCAGAGGCAGGTGGATCTTTGTGAGTTCGAGGCCAGCCTGGTCTACACAGTGAGTTCCAGGCCAGCTGGGGCTACAGGGAGACTCTGCCTCAAAAGAACAAAAAAAGAATAAAAAAAACTAAAGGATGGAAATACATATGCTGACACCATCAAAAGAAAGTTAGAGCAGTTACACGAATATCAAACATGAGGTACTGTAGTGCAAAGAATAGTACCTGGGAGTTAGGCAAACATTCTATCACAGAAGTTTTTTGTGGCACTGAGAACTGAATCTAAGGCTTTGCCCATGGTAGGCAAGCATTCCATCACTGAGCTATGTCCCGATCCCATTCCAAATGTTTGTGCACTGTTACAGACTGGATGTAAAGTGCACTATACAGGCTCTTTTGTTTGTATACTTGAACCCAGCTGGTGGTGCTGTTTTGGGACACTGTGGAACCTTTGGAACCTCTGGCCTAACCAGAAAAAGAAGGTCACTGAGGTTGGGCCTTGATTGGCATATCCATTTTTGGTTCCAGGCTCATTGACTGCCATGTGAAGCTACCACTTCACTCTCCTGCAATATGAACTGAGCTGTTCCTGCTGCCATACCTTCCCATCATGGCAGACTGAAATCCCCTGAAACTGTAGGTCAAAAGAAACCTTTCCACCCTGTCAGGTATTTTGTCACATGGACAAGAAAAATATCCAACACATGTACCTAATAACAGAGCGCTTCAAAATTAACTTAAGCAAAAGCTGACAGAAATTCATTTAAAAATAGACAAATCTGAAATGGCAAGGTGGCTCACCAGGTAAAGGCATTTGCCACGCAAGCCTGATAATCTGAATTCAATCCCCAGAATCCACGTAAAGGTGGAAGGAGAAAACAAACTCTACAAACTCTACAAAGTTGTCCTCTGACCTAGACACACACACACACACACACACACACACACGTACACACGCACACACACAAATAATAATTTTAACGTATTTTGTGTGTATCTGTGTGAAAGTATGTGCACATAAAGTCTAAGAGGACATCAGATCCCCTGGAGCTGAAGTTACAGGCAGTTGTGAGCTGCCTGACTTGGGTGCTGGGAACCAAACTCAGATCCTCTGCAAGACTAGCAAGTTCTCTTAACCACTGAGTCATCTCTCCAGTCCAATAAATAATTTTTTAAAAGCAGAAAAAGCGGCTGGGCATGGTGGCACATGCCTTTAATCCCAGCACTCGGGAGGCAGAGGCAGGCAGATCTCTGTGGGTTCAAGGCCAGCCTGGTCTACATAGTGAGTTCCAGGACAGCTGGGGCTACAGGGAGACCCTGTCTCAAAAAGACCAAAAAAAAAAAAAAAAGTAGAAAAATCAGGCCTGGGATAGTAGTGCTCAC